ACAATCTTTAACTCTCTTTTTCTTTAAAAAAAACCCCTATATGTCTTAAAGGTTGGCACTGAGACCCCTCTGTATCTGGAAATCAACAACTTCTTTAGTGTGTCAATTACTTTTTCTATCAGGTAATTAACAGAAATTATGTCACCAACCGTCAAACCACAAGTTTCACACATCATACCCATTAAAACAGGAAAAAGTAACCATACATTATATCTAGTTAATTCTAAGTAATAAATGAATTTCCTACTTTAATGAAAACGTTTTGTTGTGACATGACGTGCCACACGCCCAAATCAAATAACATGCCTACCTGTAATGTTTACTTTCAACAGTAGACAGGCTAACACAAATAAATTTTAACCTACATACATTCACTTAAATACATAATACAGGTTTAATCATGCATATGTCTACTTATTGCACACATATAGTAAAATTGTAGAATTCCATTCATATCTTTACAAATTTAGGTCAACAAAATATTTTTGTATTATAACATGAACTGCAACATGTCACATATTTTAAATCAAGCCAATGAAAGCAGTGCAACCCATCATCCTCATTGTTATGGTATAATGAGGACAGTAAACAAGTTAATTTCAATAAACTTTAAAAAAAAAAAAAAAAAGAAGAAGAAAGAAATCACTCATTAAATGTTTTTTTTCATCCTTAAAAAAGTACAACAAATGAAAAAGAAGGATATGTTATTTTCCCATAAAAAATTAATGATATAATGAGTCATTATACTGACAAGTGAACACAAAGTGTACAGGAAGACTTGAAGATATATTGTGTATATTTATAGAACTTCCTCACTATAATGACTTCTTTACATCCGAACTACTGGGTGGGGACCCATGATGTACATGTTTATCTTAAAAATAGGACTTCCTTGGCATCTAATCTAGGACCCTCCCCATTACTGCTATAGCAATACACCTGCAGTTGTGATTCATATCTACTGCAATCACATCTAATATTACTGAGTGGTGAAATCAGCAAAGCTAATATGACCAATAAATACATTATTTCAATGTTTTGTCATATTATTTACTTAGTTGGAGATTATAGATATCTTACAATGACCAAACACCATTGGATAGGCACAGGAGATGGCCAACCAGATGACCAGCCATGCCCAAAATTTAACCTAGTGACCTGGGTCAGTATAGATTTGTTCATCCATCAAAATCTTGTTTTCTGATTTTTTAGAGAAAGAATACTCCAGATAGATTTATTGTTTACTGTATATTATAGCACACCTTGGTAGAATTTAACAGAAGGAGCAGTGTTAACCAACCAACTGTATTACTCTATAACACCTTTGGCTTCTGGACATAATAATTCATTCATATATATCCATTTGTGTGTATACAATATACACATATAACCGCTATGACTAAAGTTCTACCTACATGTGTATGTCCACACCCTGTGTCCTGTCTAGATACTAAGGTATGTGACCATGTACCTTATCTACTTCTGACTTGGTAGTGTACCTGTCATCCATCTAAACTCTCGTTACCAGGTGTGGCCATCGTGTGCACCTCACCAATTCTTACAGAACAAAATAAGCAGTTCTCCACTTTGGGCAAGTCTGCAATGTGTTCAAGTTAACACCTGAAAAGCATGATTATACCTTTTTTGATGTAGACTACATCAGAAACATTAATGGGATCAGCGAATTAAGAGCCTATATGTGGTACAGCCATGTACTTTAATAAAAGGTGGCTTCATTATGTGAAAAACATCTCTTATCTGCTGATAAATACCATGATGTTATGTGGGCTCATTTATCCTATCAATATATTTCAACATCTAACGATAAACTTAAATCTCTGAAATGCTGGTCTAAAGCATGTGCAGGTTTTGAACTAGCCGACCTTTCAGCTTTATGGCACCTCCCTTCAGTCTCATGGCGAACTGCTCACTGTTCTTAAATATGAACTTTCAACTTTATCATCTAAGGATCTACTGGTGTCCCTGTAACTGTCCCATGAAGGGGAAGGTCCTTTCTGGTTATCTCCATCACAGGGAAATGATTATCACAAAGTTTCATGAACAATCTGACTGTCAATTTCTGAGAGGTAGATGTTAAGATTGTTTAACTACTTAATGTTTAAGTACATATATTGTCAAGATTTACTTGCTGATGACATGGGCTAATAAATGAAAACCAATCCCAACATAAGTTGTATGAAGGATGCATTTGACTTAAAATACCTATCTAAGACTTCAAAAGTATGCAAGGATCCTGTGATACACAAAAACATGTTCATCACACTAATATCTATGTAGGTCAAACCTCTCAACAGTGATTTTCTTTACCCTGTTTAACAGCCAAAACCCTATAAATGAAATGTATATGACTTTCTCAAAATACAGGCAAAAGCATCTTCTGAATGTTAAAGAATTTACTATGTATTTTCCAATTGATGTAGGCAGGCTGCTGTAAACTTCAGGTTGAAAAAAAACACTCTGAAGATACTACATGTCTAAACTCTTGTGTAGGTATTCAGTAAACTATTGTGTAGATATCCTGCAAACTGCATCATCTACGCATCTGCCCAAGGCCTACTTCTTTATAAAATTGTGAAAGCAGATTCATACAGAGCTGTACCTTTTTTGACAAATACATACTAAATATCACTGAAACAGAACAGGTATACTATCAGCATATATTCAACAATGTCAGAAAGATTCATAGATCTCTTTAAAGTGTGTTCTAACCTAAACCATCATAATAATGACTGCTAATTGTTGTTTTCTGTGTGTTTTCTACATATCATAGTTTCCAGAAGTTGACACAATCAGTTCTATTGGGACAATATTAAGTCCTTTCAGTTAATGTTCTTTGTCTTTTAATTATTTCATTCTTATTACAACTTCATTAAATATATTTACAGAAACGCACTGTCAGACTATTAATTGAAATAATTATTTTATAATAGGTTTTAATTGGATTAGATCACAAAAACATCCACAATATTTGTAACCTATAAATATAATAGAAGTTAAGCTCAGCACTTTGAGCAAAAATAATCTAGGAAAAGCATGATAAGCACAATGTATTTTAGCATACAGACATTGTATTATTGATATAGGTTGCATGTACTAATTAGTTGAGGCTTCCTAACCTAGACCATGTCTTCCCCAACATTTTTTTTCTCTGTAAAGAAGCTGAGGTAATTCATTAATATTTCACTCTGACTGTCTATAGTTGGTATATTTGTAGAGTTAGGTGTTCAAAATCAACCACAGATGAAGAGTTACCTTGTATGATATTGCAGACCATAAAGTTGGGTTTCTTAATCAGATGAAAAACCTTCCTTTTCCTTTTTTATTATCATTACTAATTAATATCACATTCCATAGCTTCTGATAGGCCATTGATTGACCCTGCATGCAATATTTACAATATGACCTAGTTCTGTCACAACTGTAAAATGTATTTGTTTTACTGGGTTAAACCAGTGCATAATTTGAAGCTATTTTTTGTTCATAAAATGATAAAGTCAAGGTAACTTTACTAGAAAAAGGAAATTTGAAGAGACCTATTATATTATTGTTTTATCTCATAAACAGCACACTTTCTGACTGCAACAGAGAACATGTATGATAAAATCTCCAGTCAAGTGGACTTCATAACAGAATTTCTTGGAATTTTATCAATACTGATTGTACTATCAGTTTCAGAAAATCAAACATAATCATATCACTGGGTGTATATCAGCTTCTTGTTTCCTTTCCTTGTTATTAATATTACAAGCATTAATGACCTCCTTTCGGATGTCTGTAGCACAAAGCCAGTGTAGCGCAGACCTACATCTTTTCCCTCCTTTTTGTTTCACACTGGGGTGAAGGCCTAGGCTATCCCTGGTAATTGGCTGGGTATCCCCTTACAACAGGGCTGTTACAACATTTACACACAAAACCACCTGCTGCCATATGCACTTGTTTCTCTTCCATATTATCACAATTCTATCATCACTTTTCATTTCTTTCTCTTTGTGCCATAATCACATTACATGGCTACATGTACTAGCATTTACCACTGTGTATCATTGTGATTTTTACTTCTGTTGTTAGATCACTTGAAAGCCATCAATCTTTGTTGAAAATGTGGCTCAATCATGATCAATCTACAGAATGCTTCATCACATTTCTGGGTCTTCTAATATTTACAAATATCAATGTAAACAGCCACCTAATGTTGGAAGAATCATTGCATTTGTAAGGACTGTATTAAGTAAATCTAAAACTTGAACAGTACAAATTTATGGTTTTAGTATTTACCAAGTATTAAAATGAATCTCATCATTTCAAACAAAACAAAGATGTAATATTGATGCTGCATATCTATTCCATAAAGATCAAAGACATGACTTTTGCAACAACTTTTCCAGTCCATAACAATAGGTTTGAAACATGACAAAGTAATTTGTATTGTACATGACTGTAACAATAGCTGGTATGGTGCAAAGTACCTGCATGAAAAATGACATTTGCTTCACCAGTAAGAGTCTGTAGTTCAATCCTGTTCCATCAGGTTATATTTTTTTTAAATTCAAAAATTATTTGGCTTACTCTTGGCAATATAAAAATATTAGGCCAGGATTACAAAGTTTCATAAATGCGATGGCATGCAGTAGACTCTCATCAATCTAAATCTTTATAGTAAGTATGTAAAACTGGCAATCTATATGGGAAAGTTTGGGAATATATGCCATGTTATAACCCTACACACAAGGATCATCTTTATGTACAGAATGGGGTTATTTTTAATTGACCTGGCTAACTAGATTTCTTTCAATCATTTGAATATCTAATTCTTTAAAATAAAGAAGGGGTTCAGCTGTATAGTCAGAGTTATAACATCATTCTTGAATGGTTTCTCATATATTTTTTAATTACTTAATTCCAATTATTGTGTGTTCCCCAAGAACATAATATTATATGCAATACAGAAGACCATGTACCTGACTATACATTAAACTTACCGTTTTAGGCATTTCTGGAGTAAGGTTCACCAAAGACAGGGAATGGGATAGTCCAAGGTAAAGGGAAGTAAATGTCCACGGAGGGGCAAACCCAATCTAAAAAGTGTTCCTAAAAAGAGTAAAACATTTTCTGAAAATACTGTATCAAACAACCTATCACATGCTCATACAGAATAGGCAGGGCTGCTAATGTTTCCTTAATCTACTATATTTAAGTTTGCACAAGACTTGTCTGACCTTACTACACATCTGATAAAATTGAACCAAGTTTTGGGTTGCAAAGCATTGTATGATCAAAGACTTAATAATTTCCCCCATCTTCTTGTTCCAATGAATGACACAATCACTTATATTCCTTTCAGTATCAGTTACCTTCTTTTTTTCTTGTCTAGCACCAACTATCACATGACATGGTCTTCAAACAAATGAAGGTGGTCATTACTGTATAGTTGTAGATGAATGGATGCAGAAGTTCTAATTCAGTAGATTTGTTATTGCATCTAAGTCCTGTATTCTTTGACCTCACCACCAATCATAATTAAACGATGCTGTGGTCAGTGGTCTACTACATCCTGTCTCAGAATAAAATGACCGCACCATGTCATTAATCTTTCAGCACCACCTGTCCAGTTACGTTCATTTTGACAAGTGCGATCATGATCGCGGTCATCTAAGCGCTTGAACACATTTCGATGTCCACCGTCTTATTACAAATTAATAAATGACACAAAATATACAATCAAAATATCATACAATATATACCCTTGTCTATAAATTTTACATATTTACATTTCCCCACACATAAGCGTCCAAGTTTAAACGTCCTGGTTGTAAACACTTCCACACACCTCTCGAGCCAACGGCACACATCACCACGATGTCGATCAGACACCGCCCAAAATAACGTTTTCAGATTTTGTGTGACAACAAAAAAAACCATGTCAGCATCCACAAAACAATAATTCTCACTTATCCATTGGTTCAATCTACATTCATAAAATTATCCGTTACGATACCTACCCCTTATTTAGTAATGTGTTGTTAAATCATACACTTACTTCTACGGGACCGGTTCTATTATGGCCTCCAGGGTGTGACACTCACGATAATGAGCAATGGTAGGACCCCTCTAGGATAGAATTGTAAGTTTGCTATCCGAACGGTTTTACCTTCGATACACCTCGTCACTGTAGCTGTGTTTCTGTAACAAAACTGAGACAAGCGTAATAAATAGAGAGCCTTATCATTAATGGAATTTTAACCATTTTTTTTGTAATGTAGATAAAATGTATACTACTATCTATAAGTAAATATATTGAGTATCAGATATCTAATACTGCCATATATTCTGTATAAAACGAAAACTGACTTGGCTGCGAAAAGTTGTTGCGATTCTTCATTCATAATATGCTTTTGGTTTGATTTATAGAAATAAAAGATTGATCTTATATACTTACTCTTTCAAACAAGAGGCTCTAAGATTGAAATATCACTAACTCACATCGAAATGGGTTTCATTCTCAAATTTTAAATTAACCTGTCTCATAGAAGTAACGATACTCTTCTTATAGTACGGCGAGATATCGACATGTGAGTTGTGACGTAATATTCCGATTGTATTTTCTTTATTAATCGATAAATTCCTAATCTATTGTCGTAACAAACCTGTATCATATCAAAGGCTGGAGGACCACGCCCTTCTTCCTTATTGAACACTTTTTGTTTGACTTCTTACATCATGGATTCATACTTGAATTATGAGCATCATTTACATACCATATGATTTTTTTTAAGCTCTTGCATATAATTATTTACCTTTCATGGAAGACCAATATATGAGTAAACTTTGTAAAAAAAAAACACTATTCTTATCCACCGATTTTATATCCCTTTTTCTCTTCACTTGGAATATCTGCCTTCAACATGATTTGTTTTATCATTTTAGTTTATTTACGCTAGAAATTATTGATGGAAAGCTCTTTATTTAACCTTATTAGAACTCAATCCTGCTTTCAGGTTGGGTTCGTTCGAATTCACGAAATTTTGCTGGAATGCGTTTTGTCCCTCAAATAAATCATTTGCTTAATTTATAGTAACTGATGATAATTACCTGGTCGTGTAGAAAAAGAGAATATTCCATTTACTTATTAGCCTGATCAGAGACCTAGAAATCTATTTAAGGTAGGAACGGGTATGCGCTCACAAGTACTTTTTAGTTTTAGCCGTAGGATTGCGTAGTCATATGCGAGCTCTAGTGTACCTGTTAGGTGTGGCCACTGACCGCGCGACCACGCGTCACAGTGGGCGGTGTATCCTTGGAGGACCATGTCACTTGCTGCATTATCAGGACTTAGCACCCTCCCAGGTATGATTAATTAGTGGACACCTTTTAGACATCAGGCTGTCTAGGCGTACATGTTAGACAACAACTGTTAGTATGATAAATGTGTGACAACAATGGCCACAAATAGACCCATTATGACGGCATCGTAATTAGCGTGTAGTTAACATATTTTTTATACATATGTAGCAACTACGTGTGTTAATTACAGTATTTAGGGTTTCTTCTTCTTTAGGAATGATAGGTCAAATATTCTTAAATGAAGGGGACTCAAGTTTACGTAAGTGGTTGGTTACACCCCCTGGACCTGGAGGGGCGGGCCCAAACAAGGGAAATAAGCAAATTATCTTTTTCCTTTTTCATCGACAGGAATGACAGGATTCTGTTTATATATTTGCTCAAAGGCATGCTTTGGTGAAGACGATATTTAAACTTTAAATGTTTTATTTATTTCTAAAGCAGTTGTGAAACAAAGCTATTTCAACTGAAACTGATCACTATTGTTGTCACTCTTTTGAAAATACCTGTCCATCAGTTTGTATGTAGTATATGTATGTAATAATTAGCAGAGAACTTATAGTTACGTCAAGTAGGTCTTTTATGATAAAAACTTTACATTCTCTAATGTAGATAACATATATACGAAAGTATTGATTTACTGAACCTGTCAGAACATAACACTGATGCATACACAAAGTTAGTGACCAATACAAAACATTAATTACTTGTGGTGTAATGTTGAAATGGTTTTCGGGTATCGGCTCATTTACCGATATAAAACTCCGATGTATCATATTGTAAATTCTGTCAAAGAACAAAGTCATTGCATTATACAGCATACACAAAAAATATTGAAATAATTTTCATGACGATAATGTCATTGGCCTTAACTTTCAATTTCAGTCGATTTCTTGGAATATGATTACGTCAACTCTACGTATTTGGAGTTTTTTATAGGTAGAAATATGATTTCAGTGAATAAAGTGATTTCGTTTTGTGTTAGTATACATAATATGACATCCCCACTATTGTATATTTTACAGATTCCGCAAAGACCCTGGCGCCTAATGTAATGAAAGAATTGGAATATAAACCCAAAAGAGAGTTTTACGGAAACGACTTTGACGAGCTGTAGTACAACACCTGGTCTGTGGGAGAGGAGATGACGAACAGAGAGACAAGTTTAATCCGCGAACAATATAATTCCTCCAATACAACGTGCCCTGTGTCATATGTTCTGGACACATGGGTTCAATCTTACCTGTGGAATACAACAGACAGCCTTACAAATACATCTGTCTGTCACTGTTTACAAGATGTGTTTTATATAATCCTATTTTTATATGACGTTTGCTTTTTATAATTGTCATACACGTAATGCGCGTTTATACCTTTTTCCTTTCCCCGCCTTCACACTCCTGAAGATAACTCACGAGGTCTCGATAAATAGCTGAACACGTTCTCAGAATTTATATAAAAACAAAATTTAAGACTTTGATAACAATTTATCAAGCTGTGTGTGTGTAATATAAATACGAATAATGAGGCGCAAAAGGGATTTCTAGGGGTAGCTAGATTTTAGGGAAATATTTAAGAATAATTTGGTATAATAGTTATTGACATTATGTGTACCCATTAAAGGGATAAAGTCAAGTCACATTTTCACATTGTGAAAGCGTGATGATTTGTTTTTTCCCTCGGTAATTGCAATGCTTTGAATATTATTCTTAAAACTAAGTCGTAAGAACAGTAAATTAAATACACGTATTGTTGAAATTTAAAAAATAAATCCATGCGGGTACTTTAAATGAATCGGATATATTTTTAAAGATAACGATAGGGTATGCATGGACTTTTGAATTTGGTTTTAAATGTCAAGTTCACTTCAACTCTAAATATTGCCTGGAGATAACTCTATTTGTCCACTTGTAGATACTTGAGACAGTACCGAAGTTAGACTTTCTAACACAACAGATTGGCGTGTGTGGATCTTGTTCACCTTATTGACTCAATAGTACCTGGCAGGTATGATATACTCTCACTTACCACTGGACTTCTACTGGTCACAACCCATTCAGACCCCGGTTATAACCCAGTTGACAGCCGGGCACAGTTGTACAGTATATTTATTTGGCTTATTCCGATAGCAGATAAGGACATAGTTTTGATGCGAATGAAGAATGAAGAAATAATCCGTAAAAAGTCACATCAATCTGTTTACACGGATATTGGTCACACCTAACGGTAACGATAACATTCAGCCCACCATATAAGATAAACACGATAAAGGGCTGTGATCAGCCTGTACAAACGGTCGAAGTGTATCATACACAAAATAAATTTCACTTATTGATAAAGAGATGAAAACTAAATAGGCAAAATCTGTACAACAGAATCTTGACACGAACTCTGAAACATGCTGAACCGTGAAGTTGGAAATGTATATACATACATACTTTTTTTGAAATACCCACACTACAAATTGTATTCGACTTTCTGCTTACTTATGTTTAAATTTCAAACGGCTATAGCGAATTTACACTGATCTGATTACTTTAAAACTTAAACAATTGACATGTTAATTGTCTATTGCATTACACAGTCATTCTGGTCTCCCAGAGTTACTGCCCTTCGTTTTCACTATGTCAGTACAATGTATGGTGATAAACTTGACAGCCGATGGCGACCGAGATTCTATACAGACTGTTCCCCGTAATACTGACCGATGTCATTATCCTTGTGTACCTGGTTTATCCTAAGTGTCGAGACAACACCACACTTTCTTTTGAATGAAAGATTAATTCCAAGCATGCCGTAGATGCAGACACCGGAAGTTCGGCAAACCGAAAGCTTGCTGGATAGGATTTAGTTTATGAATGGGTAAAATTGGTCAGTTGTCCCGAAAAAAACGAGCAACTGAGATTTCAAAATAAGACCCACCCTAAAATCGGCATTGTTTTATCTCAAAAATACATTTCGTGCAATGCAATAGTTGTATCTGTACACTAGAATGACATCTATTAACATCGTCTTTGTCTGCAAAATTAGTAAGGTTTGCTTGATAAAAAGAGCTCTATCTTATGCGTTTCTAAATTTCTACTAATCGTGTTTCATTTTTGCAGTGATACGGACTCGCCACGTGTATATTGGATTTATAAACTGTACATCGTTATAAACAACGGTTTACTTCTGGCTCTGTTATTTGCTTTATCAAGCATATCCAAAACTTCTATATAGTTATCATATCTTCTATATAGATCAGGACCACAGCCGTTTTGTGTAACGATATACAACAGAGGTGTAGGGAATGGGGAAATGCAGACGTTGAAATATTCACCGCAGTTGATTCTACATAAGAGAATTGACTACCAGTATTTTGACCGATTTCTGCTAACAAAAACACTGGAAGCAATAAGTTTTCAAGCGGAAATGTTGATGAAAAACATGGAAAATGTTTAATTTCGCTATCACGATCTTATTTGGCATCACATCTATTCTGGTTTAACTATTTGTATGCTGTGGTTTTCGACGCTTTCTATGCTTATCAAAATACTTCACCTTATGTTATCAGTTTCGTTTTCACGTTCCCGTTGATAATTTTGAGAATGTGACACGACTTGGATTTTACACCAGTCGGTCATCATTCCAGAATATTTCAATGGTTTTCTTGAAAGCCTCTCTTTTTGGGATTTTCTTTTCGTTTCGTTTCATCGATTGTGAGATTAGAATTATTGTTTAATTTACCAATCGGTGTGTTTTTTGTCTTACGTATTTCGTTTATATTAAACTGTGTGAAACACTTTTAACAACAAGCTTACCGTTGCAGGGATGTCCTCTTGTTTGGTGCTTATAATCGTATAATTGGAGACAATGCTTTCTTTTTCTCTGATGAGATAGAGTCGATATTATCCGTTCTTTCCCTTTCCATGATACAGTAGTGTTTTTTTTTTTTTTTTTTAATAAATGCCCATTCTTTTCTGCGATATAATATTTTTTACCCGGATGTGGCTCAGTACTATTTTTGACCCAACTGAGATATTGAAATACCGAAAAGAACATTGAATAACTCGTTCAATCATAAAAACGTGAGATAGTTCAAAGTGAGTTGTTAATGATGTCTCTCAGGTTTAAAGATGTATATCATACATAAATTTTAAGGTACACTGATTTACATAGGCAATAGAGGTTATCTCACCTGAGTAGCAGCGCATTTAATTTAATTACCGTATGGTTGCTTTTTTTTTATTTGCGATTCAGTGAATAACACGTGATCACGGGCTTTCCGTATGTTTTTCAGTGAGGTAGCCACCGCCACGCCTAAAAATAGCTGTCTGTTCAAGGGGCGATAACCTAGTAGACAAACAAGTATACCGGGGAATTGTACAGGTATGCAAGAGAACTATACATGTACATTATACACTAGAACAGCGTTGATAGTATGTCGATTGCTGATGTACAATAGACTTGCTAGATGTATTTCATTTCAGTGGTAGACTCAATTTTATTGGGATCAACGACAAAAATATAGGAGCCATGAAAGGGAATATATTCCTTCTTGATCTATTAGTTATTTCTCTATGGTTATTGAAAAATCGACATTGTCTCAGTAATGTACAACATTCAGAACGTATTCCGCGGAAGACTAAAATTCTGCCTGCTCGTCTTCCTTGTCATGTGGAGCGCAGGCGATAAGGGGACTGTCAAGAATTTATTGATTTCTCCTCATAAACCACCTACCTGTCACAATGTTTATGATTGTCTATACATACTACTGAACGCCTACTTGTTGGTAACGATCATAGCTTTGTGGTATACAAGTATTGTCGAATTAACTTTGGACATGAAATTGGAAAGCAGTGTGAACCAGGATACGCGTTAGTGTAAAGCCATTGAAATTGCACATTATACAAGTATATATGGGTTGTACCTAATAAAAAGCACACTCTTGAATTTCCTTTTCCTTGCATACATATATAACACACACAGAGATAACAATAATATAGATTCTCTCTCTCGATTTTTGGAAACTATATCAACTGGAGCATTTTTGTGTTTCAGAACTTGAATATATGGAATTAAATCACGAACATAATGAATTAAAAATATATACCATTGTCCAAACTTTTACAATTCTATACAAGTTGAATTGCTGAGGTTGTAATACAACACTATCTACTCACAAGGTAAGAAGAGCCACGCGACTTCTCGAGACAGCTCTGTATAACAGTATAATACATATATTCATAAACAATAGGTTTATACCCAGAAGTTATAATCTCACGATGTTTAGATAGTAAGAAAGACTAGTTTACGTTTGAAGGAGCAGAGAAGTGTAGTTGGATCATAACAGTTGTCACCTGTCCCCGTCGGGGCTTAAATAAACTCTATCGCTTGAAGGCGAAAAATACCGATAAATACACGGCAAAGGTACTATGGTACAGAAAGCTCAAATACTTTGTATAAGGAGAAATAAGTCCGAACTCTTTGCAATGGATGAAAACACAACCAAATACCATTCACCAGCTCTATTCCTAACAAAACCACGATCAAAAATAAAATAAAATAAACATCGTCATGTTATCATTACTTTTGTTGATCTGTATATATACATTTTATTGTTTTTTCGTTTGCCCGTTTGAAGTCGCATGGGATACCTAACAAGTGTATTGAAAGTCAATGTGATTGGAAGAATGCCAATTTCCGGCATTCGTCTTTAGATTCTGATCAAATGTTCTCCAACATGATGAATGTTCTATCTCGTTAGTTCTACCGAAATGTTAAAAACTTGAAAACCATTTCACGAAACGTAGCCCAAACATGGGATTAATCTCTCGAGACAAGTCGAAGGTTTTGTTTTTATATGTCCTATGCTAAGGGGTTGTTTGCTCGGGGTTATATGAAGAGGGTATCCTAAGATAATAGGGCCACTGAAGTATGCTTGTACTTTTATGGTGCCGTATGACCGAATCTGTGTTAACAAATGTACATTCATTATGCTGTTATCAATATTTGTATTTTCACTTCCAAAGAAAGGAGACCAAAAATGCTTCAGACCAAATTTGGCCACGCCCCTCCCACCCCAGGGGGCAGAGACCCATCGTTTATTTAAAAGTGATAACACGTCGCCCAAGAATGCTTCTGAATAAATTTGGACAAAATCCAATCACTTCTACAAGCAGAGTAGGATTTAGAAAAAATATTGCTCCATTTCCCCCATTGGGCCATGCTCCCCACGCCCCAATGGGCCGAGACCCGTCGTTTATAAAAATAAAATGATATTCCTTAGCCCAACAATGTTTCAGACAAAATTTGGGCAAAATCCAATCATTCCTACGGGAGGAGTAGGATTTTAAAATGTCCCCCTTTTAGGCCCCGTCCCCCAGGCTATTCCACTTATACAAAATTTGTTCTGCTTTCCCTAGGAATACTTCTGACGAAATATTGTAAAAACCCTGTCACTTGTTTATAAAAAGTAGCCATTTGTATGAAAAAGTTGAAGGACGAACACTGGATGCTGGATGATGCAGTATGCCCTTTGGGTTTGTTGGAAGGTTTTACCATCTTCTGATTTAGTTGGTTTGGGTAGTGCTATGTATCTACAATTGATATTCACTGGCATTATATCGATAGGAAATAGCAGCTCAATGTAAGATGGTTGCCTGTAAGGTTTTTTGTTTTTCTGATCAGTCCTAAGATCAAACGAAAACAACTAGGAACCAGGGAAACCTGCAGGAGAAAAACTGACCCAGTACTGCTTCAATAATTTTGATAATCTGTCAAAATCCAAGATGTCCACCTGTAAGCCATTTTGTCTTACTGACCAGCCCTAAAAAGAAAATGGCACAACCGGTGACCATGAGAAACCTACATATGATCCAAACATTACTTCTCAAGAAATGCGGATAACAAACAATCAGAGTCAAAATCCATGAAGGCTGGCTTTTGGCCATTTTTTTCATATCAGATTTTCTACTGGTGTCATTTGTGTTTCAGAGACTGATCACACAAATGAGTTCATGAACATAATATAAACTTTTTCTCTATATATTGCTAAATGCTATTTGTAAAGAGTTGAATGTAAGTTAGATAACATGTCACCAAATCATGTTGTATATATTATTTGAAACAAGTTAAATAGTTCAAACCAAGAAAGTGGTAACAAATCTTTGATTGTCAAAATCTGAGATTGCCATTTGTCAGCTAGTTTTTTTCTTATTGTTCCCAAAATGGGAAAAATTCTTATGAAATTTGAGAAAAGATCCATCCAGTATTTCAACAGATTTGCCTGTCAGCTATTTTAAAATCCTAGAAGGTCACATGTAGGCCATTTTGCTGGGCTCAACCAGTGACCAAAGAAAATGAACAAGTGAAATTTGAATATGTAGGGTGATTGGAATAGCCATGTGGTGATGGTCAAAATAAAAACAGTAAGGTCTGATTAATTTCTCATTTGCTGCCTCGTTTATTCACATAGATCTGAACACAAACATTTGCATGATAGACCACTCATTCCATGAAATAAAGACATACAAAACACAATATTTTTTCCTATAGGGTGTAGGTCCATTTTGACAAGTAAGTGAAAGGTTGACCACAAAACAGCAGCACTTGGCAATTATAGCTATCTCACGTAAAAACAATACCAGGATGACTAAATAAACTATGAGATCATAACCATTTACGTATCAGATAAATAATTCAAAGATATCAAACTTTTTTTTTCCATGTTAGAATCTGAATACTGTGAAATGATAGTAAATTTTTTTTAACATCACATTCCTGAAAAAAGAATCTGAAATGTTTTAACGCATATTGATGCAACTTTTTATTTACCGGCAAAGCCAGTATGAATACAAGTTGTTAACATCTGCTGTGCTACAGCTAGATGCTAAATATGAATGTAACCGACCTGCATTCATACTTGCATGAATGTAACCAAATATGTCACATATACAGCAGGAGTATAGTCTAAATAATGCTTATAGTGAAGTTAATCTTGTATCCAATTTCTCCTGCTGATATTCACATAGACAATGTGAAAGTAAAGAAAATAACATTCTTAACTTACAGTTATTGTTGCCCGCAAAATATAATAATGTATTTCAGGAAAATTGAAAAGCATACACTATAGAACAGGAAGATCTCAAATCCCAATCACTACAAATTGTATGGTTGTAAAACTGTCAACATTCTAACTGAGCTTTTAACATCAACAAATTATAAACGGGACATTTTTATGAGAAAACAATGACAGATCTCTCTAACTACTCAACAGAATGGCTTTCTATTTTTCTTTTGATAGAAACAAGACGTGACTGTTCAGTACTGAAAATAGACAGTAATTTCATTCACACATCATGTTGCTGTGTTTTAGTCCAGAAAGTTATATCACAACTTTGGAAATGTTATGAACAACCTTTTCAAACATTATTGACAATACATAAATGTACCATCATAAAAAATCCAAGAAAGATTTCTTTTAATGCAGTAATACAAGCACATTGGGGACCTTCATTGACACTTGTGTACACTTCCACTCCTTAAAAGAATCAGGGCATTCCTTATGCTATTGAAATGAAACACAAATCACTATAACATCTAATTATTTCAAATTAAACATGAACAATAGATTAAATACATCTTCAAAAGTATTAGAAAACATTTACCTTCTGTCAATAATTCATGTTTCATCAGAAGTGACTCAAACTTACCTATATTTCAAGACTGGGGAAAATGTAGATGATTTAATGTTTAACTAGTGACATCTTACCTGGTATTACATATGTGTATATGTAAATCACTACATTACTATTCATTATTAAATAACAGCCAAAAACCAATTCATATCCAAAACTTGTATAAGATTCACAGTTCAGAAAGAAATCTTGGCTTTAAAACAGGGTACTAAATACCATATAATGTTGATAACCTGTGATGAAGTTTACAAGGAAAAATTCTTTCTATTAATTTTGTATTGGTTTCAGTGACTTTTTAACAGATGAATAATATTTTCCTTGTGCTACAACTTACAGGAACACATTCTATACACTTCTACTTTAATTGTGAATCAAATCCAGTAATTTGTATAAAAGGACTCTTAAATTATCACTATCAGTCTTGGATATTTTTTAAATACCCCGGTACTACATTGATGAAGCTGTTGTTTGTTTGTTTCATAAATGTGAAATAAATCTAGTTTCTTTCATAATTATAGCATTAAATACTATTTTTTTCATTTCATATCTTACTTTTCTATCTGTCGAAATCTATATATCAACTTAAACTACCATGGTTCAGAACATTCCACCATACAATATTTTACACCACATTAACATATGGTAAATCAACTTTAATGGAACTATTTGAGGGACAAACTGTTTTTTCACAAATAAAAAAAAAAAAGGTAACATTTTATCATAGAATTTTGATTCTTCTAAACATTAATGATTTATCTGCAAATGAAATGTATTGGATGAATGATCTGTGACTGGTGGCACACTGGTTTAACCTACGCCTGTTCAATTTCACCATCACTAGTCCTATTTACGCCGTTCTGTATGTGTAAGAAATCACCTGTTGATAGGTCTCTCTCCCCTAACTTGTCTAAGCTTGTTGTATCTGGACTACAACTTAACTCCTCATGGGATTTCCTTAAAGCACTGTCCTCTTCCAATTGGTCAAGTGCTGGTTTCCGTGGACTCCAGGCATCCTGTGATAAATCATCTACGTTCTCTTTGAGCTGAACGTCTGTGTTAGCTGTTCTATATTGTTCTAGGGAGTCATTCTGGTCTGTGGTATGATTGTGCTCTATGTCTGTACTGCTACTGTATAATGAGTGAATGTTGTATGAATCTGACAAAGTATTTTGGTCAGTTTCCATTGGCTCTATTTCACCATTACCATCAGGTGTCTCTGGTTGTTCTTTGGCAATATCACAGTCTTGTGATAATTGTGAGGGTTCATACTTACTATCACTGTGTGGTGTCCATTTACTCTGTGCTACAGAGTCTGTGATTGGACTGTTGGGGAAACTAGGTGTCTCCTGTTTAATGATTGGTTTAACGTCTGTAGGAGGCACAATTGTTGATGTGACGGGGGTGGTATTTTGTGCAAGGCGTAGCTGTGCATTCTCCTCCTGTAATAGTCCCAACTGTTCTTTAGTGTCTTTGAGTTGCTGCTGTAACACATAGATCATACTCTGCATACCCTCCACATCCTCGTCAAGGTCACCCAGAAGGTCGTCCAGTTCTGGTAAAGCAATAAATTGGAGTTTCTATAAATCATTAGAACTAAAGACCCTGAGAGAAGGAGAAAATCTCACATCCCTGGAAAGGCATTCTCTTCTGATGTATCTTTCTATTCTAGTGTTGAGGCTGTTGCCTCCCTTGATTACAATTAGCTTCCCTTGTTAGAATTCTGTTCAAGGTTCATCTTTAACTTTAACAATACCAGTTTGGCAAGGCCTTACTAATGGAACTCCACTTACTAGCATCAAGTTCGGGCCTTACTTCCCTTGTTAGTGTTGGCTCTTGGGTTTAATGATTTTTCTCCCCTCATAAGCATTGTGACCAGGGCTAATAGCTTACTCTCAGTACAACATAAATCAAATCTGTTATTCTATGTTCCTTTCTTAGCATTTGGACCAAGATATATTTCTCTCTCCTCTCTTATTAGAAATGTGACAAGAGCCAATGGCTTACTTAGTACTTTAGGCCCTGGTATATGATACAGAGACTGTCAGAGGCAAACCATGTTAGCAGAATATTATCTGTGTATGTCAGATGTACATAAGCAAAACAATAAGGTTGTTGTGAACAGGATATGATGTATCCAGATAAAGTAGGCTCACAAGTAAGAAGTAACACCTGCAGATCAACCTGTTCTAAAGTGATACTGACAACCACATCTATATTGTTGTAGCTGCAGCTAGCTTTGATTAATTGCTGAAATGTCACAGCAGGTGGATTGAATACAAGCATAAATGTGATGCCATTTATAGACAGGTGTAATAACTTATCAAAAACCTCTAGACAAGCTCAAAACTAACCAAAGCTATAACTCTGCTGCATGCATGATCTCTAATTCACTGCTACTGTGTCAAACTCTGAGGAGTCGCATATGGATTTACAGTATTAACAAAAAATATGAAGTGTACAAAAAATTCCCACACATAGTGAGTATAAATGGGTGAACTCTCAACAAACACATTAGTCCTAACCTATAATAATCTCTTGCCTAACTAGACAAGTACCATGAGGAGCACTACACATATACTGGGCCTTCCTAGACATTGTACAATGAGGAGCACTACTCATGGTACAATAAAGAGCACTATTCGTATAATGGGTCCAACCTGTACAATGAAGAGCACTAGTTGTATACTGGGCCTGATCAGACGCGGTACAATGAGGAGCACTACTTGTATACTGGGCCTGATCAGACTGGGCCTGATCAGACACGGTACAATGAGGAGCACTACTTGTATACTGGGCCTGATCAGACACGGTACAATGAGGAGCACTACTTGTATACTGGGCCTGATCAGACACGGTACAATGAGGAGCACTACTTGTATACTGGGCGTTCATAGACACGGTACAATGAAGAGCACTACTTGTATACTGGGCCTGATCAGACACGATACAATGAGGAGCACTACTTGTATACTGGGCCTGATCAGACGCGGTACAATGAGGAGCACTACTTGTATACTGGGCCTGATCAGACGCGGTACAATGAGGAGCACTACTTGTATACTGGGCCTGATCAGACGCGGTACAATGAGGAGCACTACTTGTATACTGGGCCTGATCAGACGCGGTACAATGAGGAGCACTACTTGTATACTGGGCCTGATCAGACGCGGTACAATGGGAGCCTGATCAGACGCGGTACAATGAGGAGCACTACTTGTATACTGGGCCTGATCAGACGCGGTACAATGAGGAGCACTACTTGTATACTGGGCCTGATCAGACGCGGTACAATGAGGAGCACTACTTGCATACTGGGCGTTCATAGACACGGTACAATGAAGAGCACTACTTGTATACTGGGCCTGATCAGACACGGTACAATGAGGAGCACTACTTGTATACTGGGCCTGATCAGACGTGATACAATGAAGAGCACTACTTGTATACTGGGCCTGATCAGACGCGGTACAATGAGGAGCACTACTTGTATACTGGGCCTGATCAGACACGGTACAATGAGGAGCACTACTTGTATACTGGGCGTTCATAGACACGGTACAATGAGGAGCACTACTTGTATACTGGGCCTGATCAGACGCGGTACAATGAGGAGCACTACTTGTATACTGGGCCTGATCAGACGCGGTACAATGAGGAGCACTACTTGTATACTGGGCCTGATCAGACGCGGTACAATGAGGAGCACTACTTGCATACTGGGCGTTCATAGACACGGTACAATGAGGAGCACTACTTGTATACTGGGCGTTCATAGACACGGTACAATGAGGAGCACTACTTGTATACTGGGCCTGATCAGACGCGGTACAATGAGGTGCACTTCTGGTATATAGGGCCTACCCAGACATGTTGTATTGAGAAGCCCTACTGGTATATTGGGCCTACCAAGACATGTTGCATTGAGAAGCCATACTGGTATATAGGGCCTACCAAGACATGTTGCATTGAGAAGCCCTACTGGTATATGGTGCCTACCCAGACACGGTACAATGAGTTGCACTTCTGGTATATGGGGCCTACCCAGACACGGTACAATAAAATTCTTTACCAGACTGGTTGTTGGTCATTTCTTGGACAAGAGATTTCTGTAAGGCAATCTCTCCTTCCAATTGTGCAGTCTTTCCAGAATTGATCACCTTTCCAAGCTCCTCATTCTCCTGGAGGAGCATCCGACACTTGGCCATCAGTCGCTTACCAGTTTGGCTGAAAGTATCAAAACAAATGGGACATATAATGAGGACCTCTAACAGAAAAGGGCAGCAATCCCTTACCAGGTGAAAGTTGGACCTTCTTCAATGCAGGTGGTCAAGCTGTGAAGTTAACTAAAAAAAAAAAAAAAAAACAAAAAACAAAAAAAAATGCAAACAACAAGGAGTTATTTTTATAAAAAACAACACTTGGAAGTCAATATCAATGCTTTGGAATCCAGGTTGACAGTTGCATATATTGTAAAAAATATCTTGGCTGTACAATTCCCCATCCACAGCCAGATTTACTGAAAATAATCCATCACTCTCTAACAAAGTTTTAATCCAACATGCCACATCCCACAAGCCATCAGCCAAACCAATTGTTCCTAACTTTGTTATCTAATCCCTGCCTAAGTAAGAAAAATTGTATTTCTACTACTCATCTATAGCCAAACTTGGGATTTCTAGGCCCTTACCTACTGTCACACTTTCGATCTCTAACCCCTTTGAACTTCTGGATTACAGATTCATAATCTGTCACCTAAAGCTGAAGTCAAGATCTGCAGTCAATGACCATCCAGGCAAAAATTCTTATCCATTGTTTCCTGAACCCTTCACCAAATTTTGAATTCATATTTAACGATATACAGTCAAGCATTCAATTTGCTGATCCTGACTTATAACCAAATTTCTAGCGTAATTCTCCAACTTATAGCCAAACATAGGAGCTATAAACCCTGAACAATTACAAAATTTAGAATCTAAAGGCCTTATTCTATAGCAAAACTTTGGATCTCTAACCCCCTACTTACAGGCAAACACTTTGGATCTTTAGCCCCCCCCACTTATAGACAAATTTTGGAACTTTAATCCTCCACTTACAGGCAAATTTTGGTATCTTGTCCCCCACTTACAGTCAAATTTTGGATCTTTAATCCTCTACTTACAAGCAAACATTGGATCTAGGTGTACTGGTACAGTTGTCTAAACATAAACATTTTATTTTATATCTCCTAAAGCCAAGCTGGATTAGTAGATCCTCCCATACACCTGACTTTTTCTTTTAATCTCCACCTTCTGATCAGTATCTCTCAATTATCAGCCAAACTTAGCATGCATAGTCCCTCACTAACTGCCAAACAGAGGATAGTTCTTGTACCTAAAGCCAAACTATGTACCCATTGTTCCCCAATCACAAAAATTTGGACTTAAAATTACCCAACAAACAATTTTCAGATCTATAGGGTCTCACCTAAAGGCTAACTACAAATCCACTGGCCCTCACATACAACTTATAGGCAAATTTCAGACCCGTAGACCCTCTCCTATAGCCAAACTGCATGTCTAAAGACCCTAATCTACAGAAAAATTTCCTATCTACAGGCCCTCAACTACATGCCCACAACTAGGGCAAACTTCATATCTACAGGCCCTCACCTACATGCCTTCAGCTAAGGGTAACTTCATATCTACAGGCCCTCACCTACATGCCTTCAGCTAAGGCAAACTTCATATCTACAGGCCCTAACCTACATGTCCACAGCTAAGGGTAACTTCATATCTACAGGCCCTCACCTACATGTCCACAGCTAAGGTTAACTTCATATCTACAGGCCCTCACCTACATGCCCACAGCAAAGGCAAACTTCATATCTACAGGCCCTCAGCTACATGCCCACAAATTATGGCAAACTTCAGATCTTTGGACCTTCAACTACATGCAACTTAAGTTCAAATTTGTAATTCTCAACAACAGACAAATTTTGTCTACAGAAAAAAAAACTGAAACAGTTGATGTAAAATTTTCTACCTTAAACAAAATTTTTGCATTAAAATAAACATATTTTTGATGACACAGTATGCAAGATAAAGACTAAACTAGAGTGACACATAGAAAACTAAAGGTCACAACATACAAAATGTTAAAAAAATTGATACATATATGTACCAATCACCATATACATTTGGTTAGTTATTTTAAGGAAATATCAATGTAAAATTTCCTAAATAGTACAAGCTGTTCAGAATGTAAGAGAGGAGATGCATTTACATTTTTGTTCCTCTTTTTTCAAACATTCTTGTAGGTTTAAATGCAGTTCTTCTATATCTATATTACATGAGGCCTGCAAGGACTTCACTTAAAACCAGCAGAACCTATCCACAGTTATACAATTAGAGAAGAAAGTTTGTTCTATACATATAACTTATTCATAACAAAGATCTACTGTACACCAACTTTATAAGAAACGAGGTAATGCAGCTTGCCTATATCAATCAGAAAGTCATTGGGTTTTCTTCTCTTTTCAAAATAGAAAAACCGACACAAAAATCTTTGCTTCTTCCCAGCCAGGGGGAGAGTCATAAAAATGATCTAACTGCATTCATAGTTGTTTGAACTCCATTTGTTAAGGTAGTGTTTAGATCACAGGTAGTACTAGTATTGGCCTGTCATGACCATACATCCATGATTACCTTACAGGTGTAATTACAGAGGCTAGAACTAGTGGATTATATACAGAAATATTAATCTTACATCAAATGAAATATTACTAAACCCCATTTTTTTCTTTTAATGCACGTGTACTTAGATTGGTGCCATCAAATTTTAGTATATTGTTGATTTTTGGCCAATTAGAACATAGGGGATTGTACACATTATTGTGCATCATTGTATTAACATACAGAAACTAATTAGTGCTATATTGTCTTAGCACAATACATTTGCTTCCAACATATAGGTATGTTTACAGTGTTATATACAATACTTCCAACATATAGGTATGTTTACAGTGTTATATACAATACTTCCAACATATAGGTATGTTTACAGTGTTATATACAATACTTCCAACATATAGGTATGTTTACAGTGTTATATACAATACTTCCAACATATAGGTATGTTTACATGTTATATACAATACTTCCAACATATAGGTATGTTTACAGTGTTATATACAATACTTCCAACATATAGGTATGTTTACAGTGTTATATACAATACTTCCAACATATAGGTATGTTTACAGTGTTATATACAATACTTCCAACAAATATGTAAGGTCACACTATTATATATGAAAGACTTTTATAAAAAAAAAACACTTCGTCAAAACTGTAAAACTTTATAAACATCAAGAACTGACGAAAGAAAATGACACAACGGAAATACTAACACTGCATTGCTCTTTGACACTTGACTTGATGAAATACCACAACAATGACTGCATTTTTTCAACAACCTGAGTCAATATTTCCAAACTTAAAGCCATGTGTATCATTCACCAAACACATTCAATTAACATGAAAACAGTTACTTTGTGTTAACCTAAGTGATATCAAAAATGAAAGTCTGAGGATGGAATGATAATATTGAATATATCAAGACCCCAAAAATTTTCAGATCATAATCTAAGAAAGTCTCTAGAATATGTAAATAGATAAAGACAGGCATTTTTGCTATACATCAAAGTTGTAGGTGAACAAATCAGGTGCAATCATGTGAAAGGTCATTAGGAATGCATGTGTTAAATAGGAAAGCATTTTCTATAAGTGTATAAGACATTAATTGGTTATTTGACAGAAATAAATAAAAAGTTTTAAAGGATTTTTATAAAGTCCTGTAACTCTAGCAAATGTTGACATATTTTTATAAATATTAATTTCATTTGAGATCTAAATTCTGAAAAGAAATATAACAAATTTTGTTGTAATCTGATGAAAAGAACTCAAGCTATTCAAAGGAAACCCTAAAACAGAGAGACAGACACACACAGACCAAAAAAATATGCTCCCAACCTACAGGGGCATAAAAAGTAGGGGTTGCCAATATTCTTTCTTTTTCTTTCTTAAATTTAGCTGTCAAACATTCATAGAAAAAAAAGTATATCCCTAGAGAACTGGATTGAATTAAAACATTTCTGATCTAAATGGTATATATAATTGATAATATCTGTGCATTAGTGGGTGTACTACATAACCTACAGTACAGAAGACAATTTATCATTGGCTTTCACTATGGAAGATATAAGACTTTCTACCACTACATAACAGTAATATCTTGCTACATGGCTGAAAGTTGTAGATAATATTATGTAACACATCCTAACCAGACACATGCCATAGTAATGTCTATTTTTTGCATATCCACAGCACATTACAGTTAACAGATAGGCTTCACATCTTTGAAAGGGCTAAATCAGCCTATCTCCTGCTGTGATCAGTGTTCATATCAGAAAGACGCCAATCACAACAGCATCTGTCATCAAGGCCTCTGATTCTGATCTGTTTTTACCTTTTCACTTGACTAAACTGAAAATCAAACCAATTTGTGTCTCATAACCACCCCTCCTTTCTTTTTCTTCCTTTGTTCCCTCTTTACAAGAAGTCATAATTTTGGTACAAAGTAATCTCATGTGCCAGCATGAAAAGAAATAGTTGTCATTTCAAAATAAAGCATTATTTTTAAAAACTACCAACCAGAATCCCTAACAATTACTGAAGAATAACCTGAAAATCAGGTCTACAGAGAAATGTGACGTCCTGAGTAATGACTTCTGATTTTAGCAGAAATCTAATCTCCTTGTCAGCAATTAGTCTGAATCTTGTTTCAAACAGATTTGATGTTGGAAAATGAAATTCTGATCAGACTGCAAAGAGTTATTTTTAAACATCTTTGAGAGAAAAAAACAAATTCTGCCTAAAATACTCAGTAGGAGATGTGTCTACTCTGAAGTCATTACACATAGTATTGGACCCTTGTAGTGACATATGCAGTATGGGACCCTTGAAGTGACATATGTAGTATGGGACCCTTGAAGTGACATATGTAGTATGGAACCCTTGTAGTGACATATGTAGTATGGGACCCTTGTAGTGACAAATGTAGTATGGGACCCTTGTAGTGACATATGTAGTATGGGACCCTTGAAGTGACATATGTAGTATGGGACCCTTGAAGTGACATATGTAGTATGGGACCCTTGTAGTGACAAATGTAGTATGGGACCCTTG